TAATATATATATATATATATTTAGATATATAGCTATTGCACTGGGTATAAAAACAGGTTATTGCACAGGGTATTAAATGGTAATTGCACATTAGATATTGCACAAGTTATTGCCGTTATAGTGTCGCATTGTAAAGTCTGATGGCAGCAGGGATGGATGACCTGCGGTGGTGCTCCTTAATAGATGTATAACTAGAGAAGAATTATATATATATACTTTACAATTGTTGAGGTATGGAAATTGATAATTTAAATGAATAAATGTATAAATAAAAATGGGAAACGTGTAAGACATGCTCCCAGAGTTCATATTTCTAGAGCCATCTTCCACTGCAGATACATTTTCAGGCCCTCATTCACAAAGACTCAGAATCCTCTCAGAGAGCTCATATTTTAAACTACAAAAAAAGGAGTCCCAGCTTAAGAGTGATCCTAATAGTTGCTAAGACCAGCTCTTAGTAAAGACTCAACCGAATTGTTGGTGTGACTCTGTTCTTCATTAACACAAGAAACAAACAACAAACTTTGCTCCTACTAATCAATGTAGAGAAATTGACCTCTCATATAATTCCAACTGGATTTTGAATGTGTGCCATGGTGATGCCATGTAGCTAAATTAAATTGTCCCACAGCATAAAAATGTTTTCACACATTCTCATTATTTTAATTTGTTTTTTGTTATGTTTACTCGCTGCATCTATTTGATATATTAATGAGAACTTAACAACAAAACATTTAAATTTTTTTTTTGCTTGTATAAAAAGGTTTAATTTGGAAAAATTACCAACATGAAATCGAAAAAACCAGTGGAGAAAACTGAGCTGAAGAAAGGAGCACTGGCTGTTTTTTTATGGTAAACTGGTCATGGCAAGAAGATGCAGATTTTTTCTCCCTGCTTTCCTCTCCTTTTTAGTACCAGCCTTGGAAGTAAGTGACACTGCAGATTTCTAGATAGATGTTTATTCTATGGATACTATTATCATCATGTACAATACAGCACATACTTTGAAACCTCTTTCACATCTTCTAAATTGTATCTCAATGTACTTTATTTTATAAGTCTATATAGGTATATATTTTCCTGCAACATTTTCCAAATTACTAAAAACAAACATTTGTAGAGCATTTTAGAACATTGAAGTTCCTCTGCACTGTATTTTTTATAGATGTTTTCACTTTTTATTCATAATTACTCAACATTTTACCTATTAAATTATCAATAAAATTATGTCACTTCAGACACCCCTATAACATGTCTGATCACTAAAACTAGTTAATGCCCCCCATGTCGATGATTAAGTTAATGTGATTTCCACATTAATAACATAAATACATACTGCTTTTTCTCTTTCCTCCATCTTCGCTGGTTAGGACATCATTAACCTTGCTAAAAGTCATTCTTATACTTTCAACATTTGATCACTTCAGGATTAGATAAGATATTTCCTAAAATGATGCAGCTAAAAGCTACTTCTGGGTTTAGGATCCTATGTGAATATGGGCCCTGGTCTTTTTTCTTTAGTTTTTTATTTTGGACCACTGTTGTTTAAAAACCAGCTCAGGCTAAGATAGAGTAAATGAAGAGCATCTTTAATGTTTTGTACTTGCGTCTGAGGTTTGACTGAACCATTTTAATCATGTCTATACTTCCATTATTGTAACTCTGACTGTATGCTTAGGATATTTTTTATGCTGAAAGATTAACTTTTAACCCAGCTTCAAGTTTTCTGCAGCTTTTACCAGAGTTTCTTTTTTTCCAGTATAGTCCTGTATTTCACATCCATCACTTTTGAACAGCTTTGATGCCCCTGCTGCAGAAAAACATATCCAACTATCTTTTGCAAAGGGAACAGTGCCTGTTAAGGATGAAATACAGTGTTTATCATCTGCTAAACTTTTTTAGATATCAGATAAAATAAAATTTATTTTTTTCTCATCTTACCAGAGTACCTTTTCTACACAACGCCTTTTAGGGATAAAGTTTAATATTGAAATTTGCTCTAGCTCCCAGAGAGGTTTATATTACCATATGGAAAGGAGTAAATCTAGGCTGTGTGTTTAATGAAATACTTTTTCATGGGTGGCCCACTGCGATAATTTCTTGCTTAGATCTGTGTGTGAGTGTGCTTAAAACCTGAAGGTTGACAGAACACAGCTCCTCTGTGTCCCGTTAACTCATGCTGTTGTCCTTTTTTGTAAAAAAACACACCCTGCAGTCATGCATGCAATAATATGCACACACTAAGCATGAACACACTGCTGTTCTGACCTCCTCTATTTCATCACTGCTTTCTTTCTATTCTCTTCTGCCTCAGGCTTAAACAAGCCCTTCTTTCTTTATCTAAATCTGCCTCTATCTCTATATAGCTTCCTGAGATTAATGTAGGTAAACTCATGACTCATGAAGTATTCATTTGAATATTAATTCAAGAGCTGAACATGTTGGATTAGATCTCTCAGAAATGGGAACAGTTTGTGGTGTGGTTGGGGGGCCTCTTAGGATAAATTCTGGGCACTAGAAAGACAGTGTCTTTTTGTAAAATTGTGAATCTGCTTGTGTGGAGGTCGGGAGACTCCTCCTGAAGTGAACTTTCACTGCTTCATCTTTTTAACACTCAGGATTTTGTAGGTGATGCTAAAGGCCTGCAGGTGTTTCTTCTGCTTACTGTAGCGAGTGTCATGATCATCGGGGATAAGTTCCACTACTGTTGTGTCATCCTTCAACATAGTGGCCGGTAAATGGACAACAGTGGTCTCATCAATGTGAACAGATGCAAATTTAAGCACTTTCATTGTAACAAGTGCTGAGAGAAATAAAACTAGAGAAGTTCCTGTCCCCCGGCTTCGACTTCAAGGAAAGCTCATGAAGTATCCAGTCTGCTCACAAGGTGCTGTAGGATGATTTTAGTCAATGAAGTCCAGCAACAACATCTGTTCATAGTGTTTGTTTATTTGGGGACTTGCCACCTCAGTGTATTGCAAAGCAAACAACATCAATTGTAGGGTGGTGGAAGCAGTAGGCTAACTGTTATGGATCAAATGTGGGGAGGCTATAATCCCTTGCTAGCCTTTTTAAAGCACTTTATGGCGATAGGAGTGCAACTAGGCGGTAGTCGTGAAGGGACAGTGGGCTTTTTTGGTAAAGGTGCTGTTCGGGTTTTGAGGCCTGATGGTCCCACTGCAACCTGGGCTAGAAAGGCTGAGAACACCGGAACCTTTCCTGTAATCTAATCCGGGGTGGCTGCTTTCCTCTTTAGGATTCAGAAAACATCAGCAGTAGCCTGTCTGAGCAGCAGCTCACCAGGATAAGGAGCATTAAACATGGCAATATTTTTGTTGATTTTATCTACGAAGTTGTTATAGTTGATTTTATTGTTAGTGATGTTATTAAATATGCACCTTCTGTAAGAGTTGCAAACCCTTACAGAATAGTTCAAGTTAACCGTGACTGTTCTACACGCTGCCATATTATTTAAAAGTATGCTTATGTACTTTCAGATTGTTTCTGCTTTTTTATGTGACAGTTTTCTGCAGCTGCTGCCTGATAACATCTAAATCTTCACCTAATGTTCTTAAAATCAAGTGAGAGACTGTGTTCACTGCTTTTGACGTGAACACAGGGGATGGACGTCTGAGTTAGATTTCTGATGTTCTTCATCTAAGGTCATCACACTTTCGTTTCTTTTTAGCTGCTTTGGATTTGCTTTCTTTCTTTGGTGGTTTTTGTTTTACATATTTCACTACATCAAGAAAATGAATTCAGCTATCATGAGCTACAAGGGTGGACACAGTTGAAAAGGAGTAGTTGCAAATATGATTCATGCCCTTGAAACTAATCCCCCTTCCATGCCAAGAAGGGTCTGAGTCACAAGACAGAGATCTGTGTGCATCCTAAATGGTTATGTAAGCAATAGATTGTGTTGTTAACCAAGCAAAGAACACAGAGTTATGCAGCTTTAAAATAGGTGGAGAGATATAAGGAAGAGAATAAAGAGTTCAACTAAGGAAAAAGATGGATATTTATGGCTTCATATTTACACTGCCTCTGTCAGCAATACATAAAAATGCTAATTTAATTCGCTTTTTGACCGTTTTTCTTTATGCAGTTATTTGTATTTATTAATAATTCCCTCTTTTTATTTTTGCTCAACAGTTAGGAAAATATCTATGTTAGATTATTTATTTGTTTTTTCTTCTTATATTTATCCTTTCCTTTGGATATAAGGTATTTTATTGTGATTTAAAGTCATTCAAAAGTCAGTAATGTCTTTCATTTTATGTTAATCCTCTTTTTGCATGCTTAACATTTTTCTTTATTTCCCCCTTATCTGTCTTTTTTCTAAATAGCTTTTAGCTGGATTTTTTTTTATGTCTACATTCCGTGCCAGTCTGTAAATCAGAACATTTTAACTCATGAATATGGAACAGCATCTGTTGTTGTTTAAAACGTTAAGTTCCTCCAAACCTGAAGCACCAAAAGAAAACTGCTCTCCGATTTCCTCTCATCTCTCATCCCTCCTACTCGTACCTCGCTCTTCACCACATTTATCTCACACATTTGCTAATTTTCCCTCTTCTTTTCTCCTCTTCAGTTTCCAATCAATTTATTTTAGCACAGAAACCTACTTGTATGGAATGTGCTTGCTCCCATTGACCAGGGCCAGGATCACGTTTCCAAGAGCAGACAGAGAAAGACACAGAGGAGCTGAGCTTGGTGAAGAGTTCTCTTTGCTTTTTCCACCTCCTCCTCCGAGTACTTTAACATCACAGCTTCCCAGGTCCAGTAGATGAAGGCGACTACGACCTCCGGACACTAAAATATGTGAAAAACAGTTCAATGGTAAAAGCAGACAGAGAACAGTGACAAACAAAGGTGACAATGTTGTCCTAGAAATAATACAATAACTGAATTTAAATGTTTTGATGTTTTAATTAATTGAATTAGACACGTTTATGTTATATTAATATTGGACAACCAATATCTTAATGTTCACATCTCTCTTCTTCCATCTTTGACTGAAACGGTCAGGTTGAATGGTCAATTCTGCATCGTTACCATTAGCAAAGGAGGGCTACAGGGCTCTGTGCTGTGACCTCATCGTTTTCAACAATTTTAACTCATTCATAGATTACCAGTTAAACTGGATATTAGAAAAAAGATCCTGAAAGTATCAGCACAGTGTGACACCAACCATTCGATTTTGAAAACCAAATAGACCAAAAAACTGTGCCTTTTAGGGCAAAAACAAATCACAGGCAATTAACCACTGACAAAGAAAGAGACTAAATATATCAGTGCCTTAAAGGAAGCTAAGGAGAGCTAAACCCTCAGAACTGCTGGTTAGCATTAAAATATACATACTAGAAAGCATGCTGACAAGGATGCAAGGGATGATGAGTTCCTATTCCTGCAGCCATAAAGACCCTGAAAAAGCTCTCCCTGTAGCCAAACAGCAATACTGGTATTCCTATTTGAAGTGGGCAAAAAGACTAAAGAATTTATATTGCTCAAGTATATGTTGAATCAATAATAGCTCTCTGTGTTTATATCAGACACAGTGTCTTGAATCTCTGCAGGGTTCAATCAAATCTCAAGACTATCAATGGATTCTGGACAAATATGCTGCAAATTGTCAGAAAGCTTGGTTTCAGCCAAAACATGCAGCTAAAAACACCGAAGAAGAACACATTGACCTATTCTGAAGTGTTCTTTACATCGGCATAGAGGTGGTCAGAGTTTGATTCTTGTTTTAAACTGACACAGAGTTTATAAGGAGAGAAATAATATATAGAAAGAAAGCCCCCATGGATGGCATCACAGGTAAAGGGAGCTGCTTTTGTGGACAGCAATGTGGTCGGTCTGACAGTGAAGCTGCAAAACAATACACATGTGCATTGTAGTAGTGCACTTCCGAATTCTCCCTAGTGGTGCCCAACTTTACACGAGTGAATGAAGTGAATGTGATTGGTTGATTATCAAGGGGGCGGGATTGTTGTGGCAGAAGGTTTGCAAGCAAGTTTGGTTGTGGCCGGTTTGTAGGAAGCATCTTGCTAACCAGTTAGCAACTTAGTGCTAGTAGGTTCCCAATGGGAAATTACATTGGGACCAAGTAGCACTAAATTGGTGAATTAGAAACAACACTGTCCAGGAACGCTATGGACAGCAGAAATATGAAAGAGGAGGAGAGTTTTGTGTCGGAGGTCGTGGATGAGTCTCCTCCGTAAATGATTCTTATTTCAACCGTTGCGTATATTAGCTGCAACATATGAATCAAGATGCTATTACCGAAAAAGTTGATTGACAGATGACCTTTGATATATGATTGGCCGAATTTAGACGTACAAGCTGACGTATAACTAACTGGCCTGCATAAAATAACAAAGAAAAAAAATTATAATTTTTTTTTTTATATATAGAAATTTTCTAACTTTTGGGACAATATGGTCTGATAAAGAGTACATTTATATACATGTTTAAGCCAGAATGACTTGAAATTTAAATATGACTTCCTTACAACTTTAAATAGAGAGTAGGGGCCTTTCATACACTGCCATTAACTTCCATTCATTTTCTCTATTTCTGCAGCCTAACCATGTTAGTAAGCCTAAACCTAACCATTACTGGTACATACCTCATGCTAACCTAAACCTAAATCACACCTTAGTTCTAAACCTAAGATTACAATGTGAGAACTAGTAAAATGTTCTCAATTTATATCAGAGTCCTTAACTAGTAAAATGTGCAAAAAACACCTTGCTTTGCAGCAAGTACTAGTCACTGATCTCCATTTAATCACTGGATTGCTGATTGACCGTTGGTAGTATGGGGTTGAAGTGAAGCTGCCAGCCGCCATATTGGTACCTTGTTAGAGCTGTTGTAATATAAACAGTATGTGCACTACAGCATCGAATAACAATTATGTTTTCATTTTCAGGGGGACTTAGGACTTTTAAAATAAAGATAAATTCATCACTTTAAGACACTTTTGGTTTCATTGCATAAGTAGATCACTTTAACTTCTAATAAAAAAATAGGCACATCACATTGCATAGTCATTATAAAGTCAATGAAGTCTCTAAGTCATGTAATGTAACATTTCATACAAATCCATCACAAAAGAATGAATGTGTTAATCGAGCATAATAATACAGATATGCCAAAAGTGCTAAATTGATTATATACATTTAATATAAATGTAGTTATTAAATAAAAAATAAAAAATAATATATATATATATATATATATATATATATAGTTGAGTTGCTTTGTTTGTCAATATAACATGCAATATATTGACTTTTTTAAATGAGAAATGCAACACTACAAAAACGACAGTGTCATCAGCTTGATAATGAATTACTACATTGACATTTCACAGTATTACTTTCTATTTACTCTACTTTCTATTATCTTACATTAGACACAACGTCAATAGCTAATTTAGTCAGTATCTTCGACTCAGTCTGAGATAGCCAGACTAATGTTACGCTACACGCTCTACTATAGGATACATTGGTATATATGTGGATTTCCTTGGTTATTAAATA